GCGAAGTGACTTAGTGTTTGGTTGCAGCGTCGAGGGACGCCGGTTTTAATGCCCATCGATTAACTGTATGAATAAACGATTTTCTCGGGACAAGTGTTTGACAAACAAATGGTTTTCTCGGGACAAGCGAAGTTCCTAGTGTAGTTATTTAAATAAAAATAACTATACCAAATAGCGATATAAGTTTATTTTTCTTAATTATGGTATTTTACGTGTTTTACGTTCTCTACAATTTAAATTTATTCTGTTTTTAAAATCAAAACTCGTCGCGTTCCACGGATATAAAAGCGTACGGTTTATAAATATTTATTTTAAAGATTTTAAATATCAACTTATTCAAAAAAATCTACTGACTGCAAATGAAATCTTTCTAAAAAATTTCCATAGTCGTCTCTTATTATCATTGAAGTAATATGTGCTAGAAAGAAAGAAACAATACTTTATTTAACATCACAATTTAAAAAAATAACATGAGATAAAATAGAATACCAGAGCATTTGTGTGAAAACAAATTATGTATCTATTTAAGCTAACTGCTGCTGTACTCAATGACAGCAGCGCAAATATTAAATACATCGTTTGAGGTATGAAATTTTGTAAATAGTTTGTAATCATTTCTATTGTATGACTTATTTTAAATGAAAAGTCCCGCTGGGTTTCTTGCTGGTTCTTCCCAGGACAAAGGATTTTTTTCGAACCAGTGGTAAAGTAAAAAAAAACGGCCAAGTGCGAGGCGGACTCCCGCACTGAGTGTTCCGAACAAATCCGTAGGTATATAAGTTTAAAATTATTAAAAATATTTTTATTAAAACTAAAAATGTATGCTTTTCGCAACTTTTCCTTTATCTGTGCTATAATACGTTGCTTCGTACCAAATTTTAAAATTCTGAGTTCACGGGAAGTACCCTGTAGGTTTAGATTCCCTTGCGAATGTCGAAAATTTACGGCATAAACGGCTGTATCTTTTGATTGCTTTGGCTTAGAAGTTTGATTTTTTCACAGCTCCAAGGGACAGTAGACATAAGTATTTGATATATATTTCAACTTGATACCTCCACGCATTCCTGAGAAAAAAGATCTTGACAGACAGACAGACGGACAAAGTGATCCTATAAAGGTTCCGTTTTTTCCTTTTGAGATACGGAACCCTAAAAATGACTTTCAATAAAAATTACTTGTAATCAATATTGAATAAAAATTATTCTATTCTATGCCACCATAGTTAGAATATGCTGGTGCCCATCTTCTGTTTCAGTTTCCCTCCGTCCTCTTAATACACCCACGGGTTGATATTGCTTAATAGGTATTCCGACACCGCCACTACATGGTTTCATTTTCAGCAGTTTACAATATTTTGATATGGCTGATGATGATGAAGAAGAAGAAGAACAGTTCTTGTAAATAAAACTAGTTTTTACGGATTTTATTGCGTACATTAACTTATTTTATATTCCCGACGTTTCGGGATAATCTGAGTTAGCCGTATTTAACTATGACATTGAGACGTCTTACACCTCAGCCCACCCGTGACCATGGGTACTGTTAAGTGTCCGAAACGTTGGGAATATAAAATAATTTAATATACGCGATAAAATCCGTAAAAACTAGTTTTATTTAAATGTGTAGTGTTCGCGTAAGCATAAGAAATCATTATGAACAATTCTATTAACACTACTAATGTATTCGCATTCACTTTTCCATCAAAACTTAAAATGCTTGTGCATTTGAATGGTGGACTCAGACCAATGACTTTTTAGTTCTGTACCCTTAACCATTGCGTCTACTGTCGCTTGAATATATTACATGAATAAACTCCCATTGCTCATGGGGGGCATATTTCCATAGTTGCCACGCTTGGCGAGCGGGTTGGCAACCGCAGTTTTTTTTATTGTTGTTTTGCTGTTATCAGAAAGATGCTGCTGCCTATCCTCCGGCTCAGGACCGTGCTTTGTGGCATTCCTTGTCGGTGGCCTATGTTCAGTAGTGGACTTGTGAAGGGCTGTAATGATGATGATGATGATGATGGTGATAAACTCCCACTTATATCACCCAGAGGGATAGGGAGAGATTACAGATTTCCATTTTATACGATTCTGACACCTCTCTCGCCTCCTTTACATCCATCCATATATCTACACACATTCGTCGGTTAGGGGTATCCTTAATTTGGCTCGTGTTCGATATATCGCCAATTTTTTGTTTACGGAATAAAGGTGACAAACGAGCACACAGCCCACCTGATGGTAAGTAGATGCTGAAGTCCATTGACGTCTACATTTATCCTCGATTAGGAAACGCAATACAGGTACATTGTCACCCCTGAGGACTAAGATGGAATGCCTCATTTCCAGTAAAAACAGTTTCCGGAAAGTTTGAAAGTTTTCTACACTCATCACACGTAACACAGCAGCATTAAGCTGCTATTTAACGCTGTTATTTTTAAAAAACATGGTCCTAGCCTGGCCGAGCCGACCCATTCGTGCTTATTTGGTCGATAAACTTAAATATCAACCTGAATTAGCGACCAAAACACAAGATTATGTATTAGAGATATTTAAGGTATTAAAAATGATCATGACACAGCATTGTGCCGACACAGTGAACGTGGCACCCATCGACCCGCGAGTAATAGCCTCGACTACGTATAATACCTAGTTTGCAATTTTTGCGGCTTCCCTCGAAGCCTCACAACGGCCCGCTTATTTTGGTACGGTAACATACTTAGCTATAACATCCCTGTCCGAGCTCGTTACAAAACATTTTATGGTGGCCCATTTCGCTTTAATAACTTTATTATCTATAAACGAAAACAGTTTATCGAACGCACATAAAAAGTAATCATTAACACAGCCTTTTTTACACGGAGAAATGCCTACGCATAGGTACCCGCCTCGTGGAGGCATGAGCGGGTTTCGATTCGATTCAATTTATTTGCTGTTCTTGTTGTAAACATTTGGTCTTAACTATAAAAATAGTTTAAAACAAGAACCCTGTAAGGGCACTGCAAATATTGTCAATTAGTAATATTATTATTACATTTACATTATAATATTATTTAAAAAAATATCATCATCATCATTATCATCATTACAGCCCTTCACAAGTCCACTGCTGAACATAGGCCTCCCCCAAAGAAATATCATTATTGTTATTAAAAGAATATTTACAATTAACTTAAAAGCGAGATCATAAAAAAACATATTATTTATTACTATTTCCTACTTAATCATTGTAAAACTCCTTGAACGAATAATATTTTTTTAGTTACGTATGTATTACTTCCTTTTTGAACATTTTTATGCTTTCAATGCTTTTGATAAATTCTAAAATTTTATAATACATATATGTTATACATGGTTATATCCTATGGAGTTGCATCTTCGCCACATATTGCAAAAAAACTACACCTATTGCGTGTTTGAAGGCTTCACATTTAAAGAAAAAAAATTAAGTGACAAAGGAACATATAATCCAACTCATGGTAAGTGACTCCTGTAGTCCACGGACATCTGCAGTCAACTTAAAAAAAAGGCTTTAGATGCGTTGTTAAGATGAAATACCTCACACCTGTTATTTTACTTTTTTATAGAATAAGGGTGACAAATAAGCACACAGTCCACCTGACGGTAAGTGGATACTGTGGCTCATAGACATCTACATCTATCTTCGTTTGCGAATTATAATGCAGATGCGTTGTTACCCGTGAGGACTAAGATAGAATGCCTCTTTTCCAGTAGAATGGGTCGCCGGTTCTCTACACTCACAATACGAAACACAGCAGCATTAAGCTGCTATTTTACGCTGATATTCTGTGAGAGCGTGGTCCTTCGCCGGTCGGGCCGACATATTCGTGCTACAACTATACAATTAATATAGCTGCAGCATGGCTCTACCACGTGATAAAATACACTGGTTCTTACTCTTCAGACTGGACAGCAGTGCACACACTACTGTTTTGTGGCTGAAATAGGGAAGAGGATGGTACCTACCCGGACGGAATCCTAGGCAGAATGGAATCCTATCATCTAGTTTATTACATGTACTCAAAAGAGCTTATTACTGCTCCAAGTTTTCTCCCACCATAGAACACGTGGTAAATCAGCACTCTGTAATTAACATTTGCCGTAGACACTAACGGTCCGTGGTGTCCACGTGTAGTGAAGTTCCTGAAGTAATTGTATTCGATTGACTGGTGGTCGGCGAGGAAATGCAGCCAGCGTTCTAGTAGAGTGTGCTACCGCGTGGGAACTAAACACTTAAATTATCATACAGGCCTACTGTTACTATAATTTAAGGTTTTAGATTTAGTTTTTTTTTTTCATTATAGATTTTAATCTTTTACATATTTCAATGTTATGTAAATAAGAAAAAAAATTAATAATTTCATTGCTTTGCTTGTCCCTTGAGCTACAAAGTCTATATGTATTTAAAAATTAAAAATAATAACAGAATTAAATATTATTTATAATGCCGTTACCAAAAACCGTTAATAAATTCTGCGAAAAGCTAATAACGCCATCCGCAATATAAGGTTTCATTATGAAAGTTATTTTCTACGCGATTAGGTACTGATTCCGACGTAGCCGAACATGACATATTAATCTATATGATGAATTCATTAAAACCTGACAACCCTGATAGCATGATCAAGTTATTGTATTCTTTAATACTATAAGTAAAAATAAAAATTGTTGTGTTAAAATAAGATTATTACCGTTACAACCTACTAAAATCCACTGCTGAACATAGGCCTCCTCCATAGATTACCTCATAGGGGGATATTTGCCATAGTTACCATGCTTGGCAAGCGGGTTGGCAACCGCATTTTTTATATTTTTAGTCGTTATTAGGAAGACGCTGCTGCAAATCTCCTGATTTGTTTCCCTCTGTCGCCACTTTTCTCGCCTTTTTCGCGGGATGATATGGGATATTGGATAGTTATTAATAAATTACAATAAAAATATAACAAAATTAATAATTTTAAAACAAAAGTTACTCACTCTGTTTCGTTGTTCTCGAAAATGATAAACCCCTGTGCTGGCTCGTACTGAGCGCCGCTCTTGGCCGTGCCATCCTCCGTCCAGTAGGGCACCTTCACCTTGCCCCTAGCGCCCGCTGTTCGAACCACACGCAGGTCGTATGTCCCTACCGATTCGGTCAGTTCGAAGTCCCTCTGGGGGAAAGAAAACACACCGGAATGATCATCATCTAAAATCACCACAGTCGCAGTCGAAGGAGACGCCAAGCATGCTCCCTTCGGTGAGCTCAAACGCAGAAAAAAGTGCTCATCTTCTTCAAATACATCGTCATCAATGACTTCGACACTAAATGTTTTTTCGGACTCACCGTGGCCGAATATTAAAACGCCTTGAGCCGCGATATAATCAGACCCAGCTTCTGCGGTTCCATCTTCTGTCGTATATCGTACAGTTACCTCACCAGCTAAATCACCACGTCGTATAACTCTCGCCTCGAACGATCCACAGTTCTCCATAACCGTGTAGTGATCTGGATCAAACCGCACGTTTGGCCCCTTTGGTTCTGGCGATACAGAGCCTGATTCTCGACGCTGTATTTCTGCTTTGACTTCACTAAGATCGCTTTGAGCTCTTTCAGATATCTTGCGAGAGAAATCACCGCCACCTGTCATTTTGCGAGTCGCAGCCACTCTGTAAAAAGCTCTAGACTTTGGCCCGCGGGCCATCAAGGTCTCCAACGCCATTCGTTCTACAGTTTCCAAGTCTTCATCTGGATGCTGCCTTCTCAATTCGCGAAGAACGGAAATGTATTCTCTACGAGACTTATCTAATTCGCGACCTTCTTCATCGTCAGTGGCAAAGTCATCACCAGGTTTTAAGGCCATTTCGACCGACCCATCGCCCTCTGCCTCTACAATGACACCTCTTTCATTAACCCTATAACCTTTTTTGAGATATTTGTAAACTAAAAGGCGTCTGTCTGCTATATATGCCGTCATTACTGTAGCAGGAAAGAACAAGAAAGTCACAGCGCCTTCCCACACTTCAACTTCACTAGGGGAAATTACGGCTAGAATAAGGTAGAGCCACACATAAGCGAAAATAGACCAAGTTGCGGTCACTAAGAACACCCTGAGATGTTTTATTTTACGCACCTCCCCATCGGGAATTACCATTACACAGATAGCTATGATGACGAACAAGTTGTACGCGGCGGAGCCAACTATAGTCCCGGGTCCCAAGTCACCCGCCTCGAAATTCTTGCCGGCGATCTCTATCACGGAGAGCAGGATTTCAGGCGCGCTCGAGCCTAGTGCCATTAGCGTCAAGTTGGCAACGGTTTCATTCCAAACTCGCACTACAATAATCTGTTCGCTGCCATTCCGTCGCACGCGCACCTCCTTCTCCCTAGACGTGATAACTTCTATCGCGGCCATGAACCGGTCGGAGACGATAGAGACGCCTATGAAGAGGTAAAGGAGCGCGAAGAAGTATACCAGACCGCGGAGAGCGATATCGAGGGTCGGTACGTCGTCGAGGGGTTGCCACGCGGGCAGCATCAGCCCGTCGGAGCAGTGCAGCGTCCGCGCCGGGGTGTAGTTGCGCGGTGTGAGACGTTCGGGCGGGAGGGCGCGAGCTCCCCCACTGCAGGCCACCACGAGTGCGGCGAGCGCGCGCATCTCGCTCCCGAGCCGACCGCCGCCGCCCGCAGCCGGCGTCCGACTGCGTTCGGCACCCGCACGCCGCTCCCCAGCTTCTCCACCTTGCACTCCCCTCACCCCCAACGCCGCCGTATTCCCGCGTTTCTCCACCGCGACCGCGAATGCGAACTTAGTTTCACTTAGTTTATACGTGGTAACACGCTGCTGCTATAATACGTTTGTAAGCATTGAATTAATATGTACTATACATGCACAAAATCTGTACAGCTGTGCAGTATTCATACAGCTTTTTATGGTACAGAAAATAAGTTTGAGGTCGCAGGTTCTAACGCGTATTACAAACAACCAAGTCTCGTCGCTTCTAATACGTAGTATAATATGTTACTTCAATGGTTGTAGCACGAATGCGTTGGCTTAATCAACCTGGTCTCACTTGTTTTGTGTAGGCCGTTATATATTATACATGTTAAAACCATGCTGCAGCTATAATATGGTGCCTGAATGTCGACTCGACCAGCACAAGACCAAGCTCTCACAGAATACCAGCGTAAAATAGCAGCTTAATCCTGTTGCAGTTGTGAGTGTAGAGAATCAGAGACCCTTTTTACTAGATATGAGGCATTCTAGTCGTCAAGGGAGACAACGCATCTGCAATTTGATCCTTAATCTAGGATAAATGTAGATGTATATGAGCCACAGCGTCCATTTACCACCAAGTGGACTTCGTGCTCGTTTATCACCCATATTCTATAAAAAAAAATATTCTTCGATTTAGGGCAGTAATTTACCAGTTCTTTACGTTTCCTGTTCCTTGGAACTTTGTGTATGCGTATATTTTCACTTTTGAAGGGTCAAGAACGGTTAATTGCTTATTAAACGCGCCGTCCAATTTTTTTGATGTGAAGCAGGTACAGACACGCAACCTAACTCGTGCAATTAATCACCCTTACCTATACAATACACGGCAATCAATTGCTGATCGATATGTAAATTGTGTTTTTTTTTTAAAGATAGGGTGACAAACGAGCACACAGTCCACCTGATGGTAAGTGGTTGTTGTGACTCATAGACATCTACATCTATCCTCAATAAAGAATCAAAATGCAGATGCGTTGTCACCCGTGAGGACTAAGATGGAATGCCTCTTTTCCATTAAAATGGGTCTCCGGTTCTCTACACTTACCATAAGAAACACATTAGTGTTAAGCTGCTATTTTACGCTGGTATTCTGTGAGAGCGTGGTCCTTCCCGGGTCGAGCCGACCCATTCGTGCTACAACTATACTGCTATTATAACTGCAGCATGGCTCTACCACATGCATAACAAGATATTCTAAAACACTACGCGTAATTGAATTATTTTAATGCGTTATTTAAACTTATTAATAAACAACTACTAGAACACAGTCCTACATAAAAATATTTATTTAAAAAGTTGTGTCAGGATCATGCCAAATAGAATTCCGTAGTCTCTGCCTATCCCTTTGGGTGACAATCGTGAGTGTGTATGTTTATGTTTTATTCAAATTATTATTATAGATTTTATCGAAAAGTAAAATCGACTTTAAATTGCTAAAAAAGAAGTTATATATTTGCCACACTTAGGGGTGAAATTTTTGAAGTCTAACCACTCTTGAAGTATAACCTATTTATTAAAAGAAAGAATCATCAAAATTAGTTCACAATTTGCGAAGATATCGCGTAACATACATACAAAAAAAAACATACACTCGAATTGAGAACCTTCTCCTTTTTGAAGTCGATTAGAAAGCTACGGGTGACAACGCATCTGCATTTTGATTCGCAAACGAGGATTGATGTAGGTGTCCATGGGCCGCAGCAACCACTTACAAATCAGGTGGACTGTGTGCTCGTTTGTCACCCTTACCCTATAAAAAAAAACAATTTAACATAAAAATCTAAAAGTATAATACAGTCTTATTCTAATTGCACAATTACATACCTGTAAACACTACTGAGCCACAATTAAAAAACGTAATTTACACGATATTATGTAAGAAAAACATATCTATGTATTATATAAAAATCTTGTAAGGTCTTAAGATGAACATGGACAAAACAAAAGTCATGAGTAACGTCCATTTCACACCTATGCCGGTAACTGTTGGGGAAACTAAGCTAAGTTGTTGACGAATATGTTTACCTGGGACAAATAGTCCGACTAGGTAATTCCAACTTCGACCGAGAGGTCAATCGACGGATTCAACTCGGTTGGGCATCGTTCGGGAGATTACGGCATATCTTCTCGTCAGGTACATCTCAAAACTTAAAAACTAGACTGTGTGTGTTGCCAGTGATGACCTATAGAACTGAAACGTGGTCCTGAGATATGGAGAGAGCTGAGCTCGGTGTTTTGCTGGGTGATAAACTTAGAAATGAGGATATCCTCAGTAGAACCAGAGTTACCGATATAGCCCAAAGAATTAGTAAGCTGAAGTGGCAATTGGTCGGCCATATAGCTCGAAGAACCGACAACCGATGGGGAAAAAAGATTCTCGAGTGCTTTTTGTATTATATAAATTGTGTAATGACGTTATAAGTTGATAGTAAACGTATTAAAGGAAAAGTTTATTTTCATTCTTTTCAGCGCATTTAAATAAAAGCTTATTTAAAAAAAAAGTTTTTTACTTTTTATTTATTTCCCATCGTACGCTGTGGCATTCAATGCCAACGTAAACAAATCTGAATTAAGTATACAAATCAATGTAGCCTTTAGCTTAGGGGAAAGTATAAAGCATTTTAAGTGATACTCGTAAAAATCAAACACGATAACGTTCGTAAAATTAGTTTTGTTTTGTGTTTTTTACTAACTAGCTTTCGTGTATTGCTGTCGCTGCTATTACTTCTACTGTTCGGGTTGAATTTAGTCATTGATTTTAAATTAACTAGCCGATGAGCTAGAAACTTGGAATTTTTAACACATGGTAAAAAAATAAAAGGATAAATTTCGAAAATCAAATAATTGCTCGTAATTTCTTACTGCATTGTCCTCACGATGTTTTTCAGCACGTGTTTCAGTAAATAAAATTGGAATTGATAGGTTCAGTGGCGCCGTCAGTATTCGGCATGGGTTGTTTGTATCGACTTTAACTCATAAATTATGTTACATTGTAAAATAATATTTATTATAGACAGTATGAAGTATGTACAGTTTAAAAAAGGTTGAAAATATAAAACATTGAAAATATCATAAATTAATTTTACGGATTTTATCACAATTAATTTAAACTCTTTCCTTTTCAATTTTGTAGCTTCAGAGTTTTTTTATAGCACCCGTGGTACACTTTTTTTAATATTACCTCCGCACTAAGATTTTCTCCCGCATCATGGGCGCAGTTTATATACATAAATTTCACAAGGACATACACTCAGACATGTTCAATACAAATACTTATTCCGTGTGGGATTTGAACCCGCGGCCCTCAATGCTGCAACTCATTGCTAAGCCTCTGCGCCACGGAGCCGTCAACTTACGTCACAAATTGCAAACTTACTTAAAATTGAACACAACATCAGTTTTACTTGGTAGAGCCACGCTGCAGCTATATTGTGGTACAGCGCGAATGGGTCGACTTCACCACAGTGGCACCACGCTCTCACAGAATACCAGCGTAAAATAGCACCTTAATGCTGCTGTGTTTTCTTTGGTGAGTAGAGAACCGAAGACTCTTTTTACTGTAAATGAGTCATTCCATCTATAGACTTCAGAGGTGACTACACAGGTGTTCTATTTTTAAATAAATTTGCTTTTTAGAAACATATAACACGGGTGCGTTCCATTTTTAAATTTTGAGCATATCAAAACTTACTGAGTGACTTACGTACATTGAGTTATATGTACTACGTACTAGAGAAGCCATTCCAAACAAAAATTGTGTCCTACTCTATGTCTTCGCGCATGCGCGGGAGTAGTAGTCGCGCATGCGCGAAAACTTTAATTTAATTTAAAATAAGATATTAATATAAAATATCTTAATTTAATCTAAACAAACATATTTCTAAATGAAATGTAATAATAATTATTTTATGGAATTCACAAATCTTCAATTTACGCAATATTTAGTTTGTATGGATTGCACTACAGTTCAGTTGAACATAGTCAATGTTCGGAATGGCTTCTCTAGTACGTAGTACATATAACTCAATGCTTACTTATTAATATTTTTAAAAAAATTGTTTGTAACGCACAAGCCTTTCATGAGGCTGTTTGTGTTGCAACATATTATTGAAGTGAAAACTTCTTTAGAAACGTTATAATTTGAAACTCGATTAAACGAAAAAGCGACTCTAAAAAGAGACAAAGATATATATATCTATAGGATTTAGCCTGCGAGAAAATGAGATAGAATACAGTATACAGTGTTCCTATTATCTCGGACTCATTTTATTGTTCCACTTTTACCGCGTGTGAACTGAACTGTGTTTTTGGATTATCAACGATTAATATATTATTACATTTTTAAATAAAATTTACGGTAGGCTAATGTCAAAATGTACAATCACAGCAAGTTATATATTTACAATTTAGTTACTTAATTAACGTAAATAATCCTAATGAATCCTATATGCCTCTGAAATCGCTGGGCATAGGCCTCCACTTGTTCCTGAGACGGTAATGGAACAGTAAGACTCTTTCTTTATTTCTTTGGTAATGGACTGGTACGGTTATAGTTTTGCCAGTATCATGTATTATTATGTTAATTTATATTTATATTTGGAACTATATAAATTACATTATACAATATTGTTACATATTATAGTCGTGGGCGCAATATATAGTCGTGGGCGCAATACGGAATCATTATTTATTAGGGCTCCGCTGAAAATCAGCGCTGCTGCAGCATCTGTAGTAGCATATGCTGAGACGGAATCCATTTGGCATCACATCACTCACTCTTGCTAAGATTTATTTTATTTTTATTTATGTTTTTCAACTACCTTGTATGTATGTCTCATTATTTCTAAATGTATATTTTGTGTGTGTATTGATGCTAATAA